TTGTAATTAGATGACTGGTGAGGAGGAAGGGTCTTAAAATACTGAGTTATTTTATTTTCAGGAATTAAAAAGGCAGTGTAATATATACAATGTGTAATATGTAGATATATACTGTATACATGCAACTTATTTTGTGCAGAAGGAAAGATATATATTATTTCTCTCCTAAGGTCAGTTCTAACTTTCTAAACATTGCACTTCTACTTTAAAAATGGCTCTTGGCTTTTTGAATAATTTGAAAACTTCTTAAGAATTTCATGGACCCTGCATCAGGGGCCTGATCTAATGCCTAGAAATGTCAAAGGGAATCTTTCCATTAACTTTAGTGAGCTTTGAATCTCATTTTGTGTATTTAATATTCTGTTAATGAGAAATGATCAAACTTTTTTTTTTATCTCTCTTTTCTTGCCAGCACTCACAGCAGGTGAATGTGAGCAGCCCTCTCCTTTTATGGGCTTCTAATTTGCAGAGGTTAGTGTCCATAAGCAGTAATGTGAGAGGCTTGTGGTGGCCGGTTCAGTCACGTCAATCTCTCATCACCATTTTACACTGGGTGGCTGTTTCAGCTTTGAAAAGGCTATTTGGTGTCTGAACTTCTTCTGAATTATTCAGGCACTTTTCAGAGGCTAAACAAAAATTCCTTTACTTCTAAATTATTAACAGTAAAGCATTTGGATGTTTGAAGGACAATGCAATTAGACAATGCAGAGTAAAGGCAATGGATTGTATAAAGCAGATATCTTTTAATTTCTCATAGTTTTTCAAAAGTGACCTGGAAATGTTTGGGGCTTTCCCATTCATAAATATGACTTTTCTGTGGTTTGAAACTCTTCTGCTTATGAGGAAATGGTTTTGGTTTAAAAACCAGACTAAGGGGTAAGATTCAAATCAATCGAATGTATTGATATTGTGTTGGTGATATGCGGCCATCGATTGATTCCATTTCCTGTAGGTAGACTTTGAGTTTTCAATAAATGAATATAACACTAAAAGAAGGAAGGAAATTTTCCTAGGATTTCTCTGGGGATCCATTCAGAGGCCAGGATCTGCTCGCATGGATCCTGGTGTAGGATGTGGGCCTAAAGGTCAAATTCTGGCTGCCTGCAGAAAGCCTGCATAAACCTGCTTTACAGGTAGGACCAATATGGGAGTCATGAGGTAAGACTGAATGTTCTCCCCAGAAGCAGGGCCAGTGGGAGCCCATTGGTAAGATTTTGCCATCAAATTAAAGCAAGGTTGGCGTGATTCCCATGCCCCCTGAGTTCACCTGTCTCTGCATGCTATGAAATTTTTCCCACCAGAGACGAGTCACCAAGAATCATAACAAGATTGTTCCAAGCATTAGATATTTTCTGTATTCCTTCCCATATCAGGATACCTCCGACCCCTGTGTCCCTCTTCATTTAAATTATAGAGCTTGTATGCTGTTCTACACAGCTCAGCATATTTCTGGCCAAGCGCATTTAACTTATTTGTTTTTTGCCAAATGATGCAAGAATATTTTTGTTTTACATTGAGAAACTGGTGGATAGGTTCCAGAGTCCCTTAATTCTCTTTACAGGCACTTGCACCTGTAACGTATGGAATTTATCACCCATTGAAGAGGAGCATCTTTGTGAGAGTCACTTACTAAAATATTGGCAGCACATCGCCGCCCTGGTCACCCATGCAGCCCAGCTGTAGGTGTTTCTGTAGCCTAGAGTTGGGCTACTGGCTATCAAACATAATGTTTCCTGATCTCCCCCCCATCTAACACGCGATCTGTGGTCAGTAGATTCATTTTTGTCTCTGATCTCTAACCAGGAACCTCTGCAGTTCCACGGAAGGACTAAGTGGTTTGACTTTAGAAATGTTAAGGCATAAAAATAGACAGAAGGTCCTTTATAAAAGTGGCCATGGCTATTTTATTCTGTGACGGCTGCAGGTACTCTATTCGATGGGACTGAAACAAATCTAGGAAAAGGCCATGTTGTGGCTGGCCTTTTGGCTAGATTTAGAGGAGAAGACACAAGCAGCCTTCCTGTTCCATTTTCCATGATCCACGTAAAGGCCAAGCCCAGTTGCAGTCCTCTGTGCTCTGAGGACAAAGGTATTTTTCCTCTCTATTTCTATGGAGGAAGTGCCTCGAATGGGCCAGAGTCTCTGCTCAACCAATAAACTGACCCAAAGAGCAATACTTTTCCAAGGGTGTGGGGAAGACTATGTTGGAAGTGCAAGCTCTCACTTTGAAAAAGTTCCTGACCCTGCTTTCAAGCTGCGGGTGGGGGAGCCTCAGAAGTATGTGATGTGGGAGCAGGAGTCAGTCTGGAAAAAGCCTGCCTGGAACAAGGTAGGATGAGGTGTACCTTTCTGGCTTATGGAGCAACCTGCTTTCTCTTTCTCTCTCGTTAGTTTCTGTGTGTTGTTTTGGATTCTGAGGATAAAAAATAATTACTTTGCAATCTTCTAGAAAGAGTATTTCCTGTGTTAGAAAACAAACTTTTCTGTTGTTGTGCCATGAACATAACAAGTTGGATTTGCTGTACAGCTGAAGAGGGATAGTAATGGGTGTGTGCCAGGAACCTCCAGGAGGCTTTCTGTCATGATCAACCCCTCACACTGCCAGGGGGGAGTAGTCGAGTCCTAAGGGCTCTTGACATTACTCCACAATCCCTTGTGTCCAGCACTTTCTCTACAGGTCTAAACCCCGGGCCCTCTCGTGGCCATAGGGCCTAACTCCAAAAGTTAATGCTCAACACTCCTCTCACTTGGGCAGTACGGTCTAGCGGCCAGAGTCACTAATAAAGCTCCCTCTCACTGGGGCAGTATGGCCTAGCTGTCAGAGTCGCTAATAAACACCCTTCTTACTGGGGCAGTACAGCCTAGTGGCAAGAGTCACTAAAGAACACCCCTTTTACTGGGGCAGCGTGGCCTAGTAACCTGAGTCACTATACAGTGGGTGCCAGCTCTACTGGTTGGGGGATTGAGGTGGGGAGAGGTAGAGGGACCCAGCCCAGGGCCCTGGTAGCAGTGGCATGGACCTCTGCTCGCTCAGCAGGGAATCCCACCGCAGCATGCTGAGCTTCTTGGGAAACAATCTCCCGCCCTGGGCTACTTCCGACTACACCCTGCTGGACTCACTCCAGGGGACTTCCTCCAGATCCTCTGTAGCACTGATGTCTCGTTGGCTGGTTTCCAGGTCCGGTCCCACTGGCGGTTCACTAGCAGGAGCTCTGGAAGTGCCTCCTTCCTCCTCAGCAGTCAGTCCAGACTGAGCCTCACTCCAGGCTTTTATACCTTGGCCGCAGTCTGAGCATGCCCAACAGAGCCATGGGGGCAGGGCTTCATCAGCTAGGTGAGCCTGATTAGGCTCAGCTTTCCCAGTGCAGTAAAATTCCTCAGTTTCCTCAATTTAAGCATATGCGTAGTCCCACTGAAGTCACAATTCATGTCAATGGCACTACTCATTTGCTTACAGTGAGGCATGTGAGTACCTGTTGAAACAGGCCTAAACACTGTAATTCAGGGAGCCATGAGGCACAGACTAACAAACATTATAGCCAAGGTCTCTGGAAAACCAGAGTGCATGAAAATGGAGGTTTTTACAGTTTTAATGTCTTTACATATTTGTTGTCATCTGCATTTTTACAAGACACTGCTGCTTGCCTTCTCTTTGCCAGAAGAACCACATATTTCGTATGTCACCACTGTCCTTCATAGGGTTGTCAGCAAAAGTCCGGTCAGTGGCACAGCAAGGCTAAGGCAGCCTCCCTTCCTCTGTGTGGCTTCCAGAAGCAGCTGGCACATCCAGTTCTGAAGTGCAGGGGCAGCCTGCTCTGAGTGCCAGCTCTGCAGCTCTCAACTACTGGGAACCATGGCCAATGGGACCTGCATGGATAGTACTTGTGGACAGGGGCAGCATGCAGAGCCCCTAGCTGCCCCTCTGCCTAGGAGTCAGATATGCTACCTGTTTCTGGGAGCCCCCTGAGGTAAGCACTGTCCAGCTGGAGCTAACAGCCTGAACCCCCTCACATCCTAGTCCCCCTAGATCAGGTTTGAACCTCTTCCCACGCCCAAAATTCCTCCCAGAGCCCACACCCCTCCCTCACTCCAACCCCCCTCCAGCCCTGAGGCCCTTTTCACACTCTAAACTCCTTGGCCTCAATCTGGAGCCCCCTCCTGCATTCCAAACTCCTCATCCCTGGCCCCAGCCCAAAGCCTACACCCTCATATAAAGCCCTCACCTGTCCTGCACCTCATCCCAGAGCCCTCTCGCACACCTGGAACCCTTCATTTCTGGCCTCACCTCGGAGCCTGTACCCTCAGCTGGAGCCTTCATCTCCTCCAATCCCCCAACCCTCTGCCCCAGCCTACTTTTACGAAAAAAACTGAGTCAAATCCTGTTTATTTTTACATATTTTTTCGGATAAAACTCCAGGAAACTGAATACAAGACTGTCAAGCTTGGAATGAATTTAGAGAATTTTGTAAATTGGAGGGAAATGTTTGCAAATCCAGTTTGGCTGTGAAATTTCCATCCAGCTTTAATAATGAAGATATATAAGCTAATAGTACAATTCTGGGAATTACACCCATGTAAGGCCTTAGTTCAGGAAAGCACTTAATCACATTTTCAACACATACTTAAGTCCCATTGCCTTCAAGAGAATGGAAGCATATGCTTGAGAGCTATCCTTTCTAAGGGTAGGTCTACTCAGCAGGGCTAAAGTCGAATTAAACTATGCAACATGAGCTACATCCATTGCGTAGCTGAAGTCAATATAGCTTAATTTGGCTTTTGGCGCTGTCTACAAAGCAAGAAGTTGAAGGAAGAACACTCTTCCTTTGACTTCCTTTATTCCTCATGAAATAAGAGTTACCGTGAGTTGGAGTAAAAAGTCCTCCAGCTCAACGTTATTTCAAAATAAAACCTTGTAGTGTAGACGTGCACTATGTTATTTCGGAATAACATACATTATTCTGAAATAGTGATGCTATGTAGATGTACCCTAATTGCTGGATCTTACACACAATACATACTGGTATTGAATTAAATTTATTCTGATTTTTCACATTTAAACTTATTCTTTATCCCCTCCAGAGACCTTCCCAGTATATTCTCTGTTTGTAGTCATGTTGGTAGAAATGTGGGAGAGCAAATTTCAACATGATGCAAAATACATTTAAAATACAGTGGACATTTCAAAGCTTCAAGCACAAAACTTGATTCTCCTTGTGCTCACGTAAGTTTCAATGAGGAGTAACTCCACTGAAATTAAAGAGTTTATATTGGGATAAGACGAGAATTAGGCCCAAAGTCTAGTAATTAGAAAAAGGAAATATAAACAATGAGGATGAATCATTGGAATTTAAAATATAAGGGAAAAAATTGACTTTGTGTGCATCTCTAATTAATTAATTAATCAGTTAAGTTGGATGCCAAATTTGGTCCTCTTTCTTTTGGACCATTGATGGGTTAATGTGCCACTGTCTTGTTAAAATTCATATAGCAAATATGAAAAAATTCCTGACCTGTCTTACTAACACCATTGTTTGTTAAAACACAAAGAGGATTTTTAAAATCTTGTTTTCCATCATTATAACAATTTGTTTACATTTTCCTCCTTATTTAGCTAGGACAATCAAAATGGATTAGTCAGTTTTATTTTCTGGATCTTTTGCGCTAACACAGTGATCTTCAGTTCGGCTGCAAATAGTGTGTTGATTCATGTACATAGATATACAAATTCACAACTATTATTGTGAGTCGTCTTCTTGAAACCTCAAATATTGCATATACATTACACAGACTTATAACATCATGGTATTCAGCTAAAAGCTATCAGCCTTATACTTTGTAGATAGTATTATTTTCTCTATCTTTCACACCCCTCCTCCCTTTTTTTCTTATATTGCTGTGCACTATATTTATGCAAAATCTAACCTTAAAATCTCAGACTTTTTCCCTGACCTGGTTTGGTACGGTGGAGATAATAATGGAAGACTCAGGTCTGTAACTTTATGGGTATGCTTGAGTTGGACTAAGTTTCTCTTAATCTTCATGTTATTATTGAAAAAGGTTCTCGGGTTTTCTTTAGATTGCCTCAAACATTTCACCATATGTGTTTGTTGTTGGGGCATAGGGAAAATTGGTGGTCTTGAGCCACTAACTAAATGTGGAGGAGAGTCACTAGTTTGTTGCTTTGATGTTCCCATCCATGAAATCTTTTTAGCTATGGTGTCTCTCAAAGCAGCTTGTCTCAGCCTGGGCAAAGGAGAAAGTTGTGGCATTTCCATCATTACCAGATTAGGACTTTCCCTTTCTGAGTGCAGCCATGTTGGGGTTGGTATATTTTCATCCATTGGTTTGAGAAGGTCTTTAAATCTTGTGTCCTGATGAGGCATAGGACTGTGGTCTATGGTTCTATTTTCTATTAGAAACCGTGGGGTTACTTTGCTTGTACATGACATTGCAGATCTTTGAGGCTGGTGGTCTGCAGAATGTGTTGGGTTATTTGCTGATATAGCAGAGGGTTTCTCATGAAGATACGATTTTCTCACTTCAGCTAAGTCTTTATAATAATCCTCAGTCTCGGACAGATCCAAAAGTGGTTGATTCATTGGCTCATTTGAAATATTTTTATCTGGTGATTTAGGAAGTTCAAGATGAACCCATTCTCTATCTGCAAAATTGGAAACTAAACACAATATAGAATGGATAAGATCAGTTCACACTGAATTGGCATCATCAATAAAAAGTAACAAGTTATTACCAAAAGTGCTTCCCCTCATGATTGTGAATTTTGATGACTGTTGGTACAGTTTTTGCAATATTATAAATAATAAATATTATAAATAACGAAAACTTGATATAATGCCATAAATTTGTATATAGGCTTTTAAAAGTAACTACTGTCCAACTTTAGATGCTTTATAGGTTCCTGATTTTCAGAGGATAGGTGACCAATACTGAAAATAAAAACCTTTCTAAAATGTTGGCATTTAAGACTGAGGCACCCACAACTGCTAGTCACTGTTCAAAAATTATGTTGGTGTGTAATCAAAATTGCTTGTAAGTGGTAGAAGATTCAATAGCAATGACTAAACAGCACAGCTCACATCCACATGAGGAGAAAGCTATTGATGCAAATTTGGAACAGAAAATAGTGTGGCATAGGGTTGCCTACTTCATTATTTCTGTGGGGAATGGGGGCTATTACTCAGCTTTTATTAAAGACAGTATGAATCAAAATATTTAGGTGCAAAATGATTGTGTTAGAATCATCTGAAATTTATTTAGAAGTCCAGTTCAGAGCTGGGGTCTGATTATCGATGACTGTGCATCTTACCCTTTTACATCACTGCTACCTTTCTGATTTGGCACAGGGAAATGGAGACTTTAAGAGAGTGCAACCATGCTGAAGTTAGCTAAGTTGTGACTCTTATATCAGACCTGGATTCAACCGCAAAGTCTAAAGTCACTTCTGTCTTTCTCTTCCAGAATAATCAGTGTTTAGAATTTCTTGACCTTGGAAGACCCTCACAATCCTCCTCACTGGAATTAATGAGGAAAACTATGGAAATGACTTGGATAGTGAACAGTTACTTATAATCAGTATATCCAGAGTAGTAACTAGGGAAAGTGTTTAGTTATGACTTTTTTTCTTACATGTATAAAGTTTTAAAATTGATCACCAAAATCTGAGATCAGGAAAGAATTCCTCTAAGGGTATAATGGACAAGAACCCTGAACAGATTGGATAATTTTTGTACCATTGATCATCTATTGGACATGTTTCATCCAATGATTTTTTTCCTGTTGCAGAAGAGGGTGGATATGGGTAAACATTGTTCATTCCCACCACAATCCTTTCTTTCAAAGATGGTGTTCTCCCACTGACTTCAGTGAATACAAGATCAGTCCCTAAATCTCCTTCACATTGACTTAGTTAGGGGAGTGAACGCTTCCAAGTCTGTTCTGAAGTAACAAACAGAATGCATTTATAATGTAATGGAGGGAAAACTGTGTGATTCAAGAGATGGTAGGGCTGATCTACATTTTTTTGAACTCTCCTCTCCCTCCTCATAAAAAAAACAGGAGAGAATTGTAAAAAAAATCATGTTTTCACTTCTTGCTGACCTGCTCTAAAGAAACATTTTTCAGATTAATAAGTCATCAATATATTTTAGTACAGTACCTTCTGGCAAATGTTCTTGGTTTTCCAAAGTAATTGCAATTTCATCTTCTTGAATGGCATCTGGGACTGCTGGGGTTAGTGCAGAAGGAAATGTCTGATTGTCATAATTATTGAGGTTTTCTGTTTTGACCAGTTCAGCTTTTTGGGAAATCTGAATATCTGCATCCTGATTCAAGTTTGTCGGAGGTTTACCATCACATTTTTCTGTTACATTTTCCCTCTGAAAACATATCAGTAATAATTCATATTGTCTTAAATTGAAAGGAAGTTGAATAAACAAAGAAATGAAATATCACAAGCTCAGACAAGTACAAATGGAAATGTGCATCTTTCTTCCCCATCAGTCCTGCAGAAATCTACCCCTCAAATGTAATACAAAATAAGCCAGCATTCATTAGTTCATTAGTCTCCCTTTGATCCCCAAAATCCACACCATTTGTGGGCTGGCAGGCCTTGCTTCCTGACAGAACAATTAGGGAGAGGTCCACAAAAAGATGCTAGTAGATTTATTCTCTTAGCCCCCTCCTGCTGTTTTACCTGCAGAAGGAGGTGATCAGAACCTGAAGCAATAATATATCTTATCCTTTCCCTCTCTGCACCTTACTAAATTCTTGGCTTTAACAGTCCCATGTGGTACTGAGTTCCATAATCTAATTGTGTATTACGTGAACAGAATTTCCTTTGATTGCTTTTGTACTTTCCAGCTTTCAATTTCATGTTATGAGATAGGGAGAACAGAAGGTCCAGATCAGTGTTCTGTAAATTATTCATTATTTTGTAGACTTCTATCACTTCCTGGTTTATTTGTCTCTTTTTCAAGGTGAATTACCACAGTATTTTCATTCCCCCTGTAAATGAGAGTTTTTCCATGCCACAATGAACCCCCTTCCAATTTTACCACACTTCAAAGGAATCTGTCATCTACTCACAAGCAGAGCAATCTATAAAAACAGTGATCTCACCTCAATCATTCACTAAAAGGGTAGTTAGTCTTGATTTTAATTCTAATAATTTTAGTTTGAAAATAATTTATTCACAGTATTTAAATGAGAAAAAAGTCAATATCTCTCACTTTTAAACTTTGTTTAACTTCTCCCCCACTTTGGGGATTTCTCAACTGAATGAAAAATTCCAAACACTAAATTAATGAAAAAATGGAAAAAAAATAGTTTCTTCCAAAGTTTTTTCTCCAAGCAAATATTTTTTTCTCGGACCAGATATGCTAATAAAATGCTTCAAATTGCAGAGGTGCCTGCCACTAGGACAATGATGTGCTTTATCAAATAAAAAACAAGTGTTTTATGTTAACTCTCCCATTCTCTGTTCTTTAGCTGCTTCCACTAGTTGACTGCAGCCCCATGATAAGCAGCAGTAAATGGGGAACTTGGCAAATGCTGCTCCTTCCTCCAAAAGGAAGATCCAGACCAGGAGGGATGAGGGGTACTCAGGCCAAGTTACAGGAGTAGGGTGTGAGTAAGGAGAGGTACTAAGGATTGTTATTAGAGGGGGAGAAGAAAAGGAAATGAGAAATAACATTGGGAATGTTAACATTGGGAAATGAGAAATAACATTGGGAAGTGCTCTGAGAATAACATTGGATCTAGGAAAGGAAGCAGCTGAATGTGGAGCAAGAGCAAAAACAGACCAGGGAATGGAAATTGCTCATTTGGGGTGGTAGTGGATGAGACAAGAAAGGAGGGGAACATGGATTGCAGATAGCTTAATTGAAGGGATTAGTTTTAACTCTCTTCCTCCTTGCAGCTGCTTATTTGTTCCACAGTGACTTTTTCCCTGATAAACTTCCCAGCCAGCATCCCACTATTGTATGCAGTACTGTAGCCATCTTAGTCCCAGGATATTAGAAAGACATGGTGGTTGAGGTCATAGCTTTTCTTGAATCAACTTCTGTTGGAAAGAGAGACAGGCTCAGGAGCTTCTGCGAGCTTAAAGAAGAGCTCTGTGTAAGACCAAGAGCTTCTATTTCTCACCAACAGAAATCGGTCCAATAAAAGATGTGACCTCGCCACTGTGTCCCTCTAAGATTCCACTGAACAGTTCCCCTTCCCCAGTCTTGCTGAGCAACTTCTCCCTGTTTAGTTGCTCCTCAACTCAACACCATCCCTGCCTGGCCCTACTGCATTTAGCAACCATCTTCCTTTTCTCAAAGCAAGGCCCTCCCCCCCTTCTCAGCAACTTCCAGAACTTTGGGAGTTTTGAGCAGGGACTAGAATTACACTTTAGAGAAATCAAAACCTGTCAGTCTGAATAATGAGGAGAAGGGGAATCATGCAACCCTGATAATGATGTTTTAGCTCTTGAAAGTCTAAGGTTCCCACCATCAAGTGTGATGGAGTGATCTGGCTCCCTCGTTATTTGGCTTTGTGACTTTGCCCCCCGTTTTCTCCTGTTCAACTTCCAACCAGCAGAGGACTCTCTAAATCCCAAGGATCAGAAAATGGAAGTTCAGCCTGAGGTCTGACAGATCTGGACTTGGGAGAGAGCTGGAAGCTGCTTGGGTACTCACTTAGGAGGGAAGGCCAGGCAAGAGGCATCCTGAAAACTGAGAGTCAGACACATAGCCCGTTGCAGTCAGGGGACTAGAAGTATCTTCAGTGGAAAGATAAAAGGCTGGGGCAGCAGGTAGGAAAACTGTGTAGAGAGGCCCAATGAGACTGTTACCTTATTATCGTTGTGTGCTCAGCCTGCATTTAGGGGTTTTGAGTTAGCAACAGTTGGTCTATCATATGTTGTAACATTGTCAAACATGTTTTAAATCTAATATCCCACAAAAAGGATTGGGTATAATTTGTGGAAAACAGCTCTCTCAAAGACTGAATGCATTTTATAAGTTAGCAAAATGCTTGGAAAAAACTGAAGTTTATCAAACTTCAAACTCTTTCTTTAACCCATCCTTACTCTGCATTTGCAACACCTAAATCGCAATTATATAAATTATCTTTGGAGTGGATATAAAACAAATTAGAACATGTTTAGTTTGATAACACATTGTTAAAACCACACTAGATCAATTGGGAATATGAGATGTCATAAGCGTTTTAGGCAATGCAATCAAATAGTCTCCCAGGATTTTACACACTGCTTGTTAAGAAAACAAATTTTCATCCTATGTTTTGCAAGCTGTCACCTTATATACAGTACATCAGAAAACTTGCCATGACCAATTTTACTGCCAGACCTCTTAAGAACTAATTGGTAAGCACCTGGGCAGGAAGCTTTTTGGCAGAAACACTATTTTGGACAAGGGCTAGCTATAAAGTTCTGGATGGCAAACTATAATCATTAAAGCTTTCTTCTACAAAAGAATACACATAATGCAAATACATTGCTTGGAGAAATTACCCTGCAAGAAAGAACCTGCCATATGTTATATTTATCCAGTCATTTATGGCTTACATTTTAACATGGAAAGAATCTTTTAAGGATCAAACTTTGAATACGCTTCTGTAATTGCATCTACAAAAATTGGTCTCATGACTATTTGCATTCACTGAAACCCCTATCTGCATGTACAAATGCCAGTTTGTGTAAAACTAGCATTTCCAAACACAGCTATTTATTTGAATTAAGAAAACACAGTTTGTTGTGTGTGCAAAAGAATGTACCTGCAGTTTTTTCAATTGAAAATTAGAGGGCTTGTTGAAAATTTGTCCTTAAGCATTTACATTTTCCCTTGATTTTGTCTGGAAAAACTTTCAATTAATCTATTAATTAGAGCATTATGAATATTACAAAAATGTTTGTGAATTTTTGTTTGAATTTCAAAATTATTTGGCTTGACCATGTTACTATCTTTTTATTATGTGTTATATGTGAGCATTGGTCCCAGTGTTTGAGTTAATATTTAGTGAATCTTGTAGTTATTTTGGCTAGAATTTCCTAAGAGGAGTTAGCTATCCAAGTGTCACCGAATTTAAGCAAAGATTTGGGTGCTTAATTCCCTTAGGCTCTTTTTGAAAATCTCAGCCTCTAGGAATATCCCTATTCAGATGAAAGCAAGAGTATATGTTGAAAATTTTGTCCTGATACAAAGCCAATGAAAATTTGTTCTCAATGGGCTTTGGATCAGGCCATGTTTGCCATGTTTGGATCAGGCCATTGTTTACGCTCCTGTTTTAAATGTTTTAGGCCCCAGTTCTGTAAGTACTACTTTGTATGCTTTCATTTTTATGCCTCTGTATATTCTTACTCTGCTAAGGGACACTAATATTGTGCTCACAGTAAAGCATATCTGGGACCTTTGTTATTCAATTGTGGATTATAAATTATACGGTGTGATTTAGTGACCAATCACAGATTTCTACAAACAAATAGCAATTTTTTGACTTTATATAGGCTAAAAAGAGCATCTAACAGTTTAGGTACCTTTGATAAAATATGAAATACAGAACATCAAATACTCATATCATCGTCTGTTTCCTCTCTCACCCTTTGTCTGACTTGTATTTTGGTGCATGGCAAGTTTTCTTTCTTTCCCTGAGTTTTGCCTTTTTGTAGACATAAGCATAAAATATCTGCTGCTAATGAACAGACAAGGGAATACTGGTAAAATATTAACATACAGTGAAAAAACAATTGTGAGTCTAGATAATACAGGTTTTAGGACACTAGGGCCGTGTCCAGACTCAGGGGGCCGTGTCCAGGACACTAGGGCCGTGTCCGAACTTCCCCTGCGTCCAGACTCAAGCCGCGTTCTTTCGAAATTATTTCGAAAGAACGCAGCTTTTCTTTCGATGGCGGTAAACCTCATTTCACGAGGAAGAACGCCTTCTTTCGAAAGTTCCTCTTTCGAAAGAAGGCGTTCTTCAATGTAAAGAGGCCGTCTTCGAAAGAGAGCATCCAGACTCGCTGGGTGCTCTCTTTCGAAAAAGCGGATTTCCTCTATCGAAAGATCCGCCTGCAGTCTAGACGCGATCTTTCGAAAGAGGCTCTTTCGAAAGATGCTTTCGAAAGAGCCTCTTTCGAAAGAAGCCTGCAGTCTAGACATAGCCTAAGGGCATGTCTACACTAGGATATTATTTTGAAATATCTAAATTTAAAATAATAACTCCCAAAATAGCTATTTTGAAATAAGCTTATTCCCCAAGGAAAGCGGCAGTACAGATTTCAAAATAACTAGCCTATTGTTTCGAAATAACGGGCTTGGTAGTGTAGATACTTTGCTTATTATTTTGAAATAACTCCCTAGTGTAGACCAGGGCTGTGGGAATTGGCAAATGGACTATATGACCCATAACTATGATTTATGAGAACTCATTGGGGGAATGATTAGGAGAGTTAATCATGTGTATGGTTTGGATAGGTAAAAATTTAAAGATAAATATAATCAGTTACAAATATTTGTAGAGCATAAACACCAAGGTATGGAAATTATTGATGGCCACACAAAGGGGTATAACTAGGAATAAAGGGATGAAATGAATAAACAAACAATTTGGGCTGAATAGCTGGGAAAGCTCCCTGCCAGGAAGGTCTATTGGGTTATTAAATAGTCTCTGAATAGAACTGGTAGGCAGTTTGAATCTTTGAATTTTTAAAGGTAGACTTTGCTGAGCACTTCTTAATGAACAAGAGTGAGTTGATCTGCAAGGGCAGGGCCATGGACAAAATAGGACTATTAACTTTTTTCTATTTGTAATTTCTGTGATTCTGTTATTCATATCTGACTCAGATGCTAAGTGTGTCAAGGGACTCTTAAGATACCTGGCTTGGTCCACATTGGAGAAGTGACATATGTCCTATTTAAATCTATGACTCGTTTTATTACAGAACACAAATACAATCTCAGTGAAAATATCCATTATTTCCCCTTCTTAATCTGATCAGAAGTGGCATGCTAGAGAGGTGTTTTCATTACATTATTTCCCTCATGTAGGATATGTAATAGGAATCCAGCTATTTAGGAAAACCAGTTTCAATGATGGTTTAAGAAAAAAGTGATTAAAATAATAGGAATTTACTGTGAAAAATCCTCAGGTTTATTTCTTATTTTTAATTATTATATTTAACTGTAGTTCTGTGCTTCTATTTTTCATTTGTAAATATGTTGGAGGCATTTTGGCCACTTTTAAATATGGCTTCCAATAAATTAACTACTGTAACTAAGGTCTTAATGGTTAAATTTTTTATTACTATATCTTTTGGGGATTATAATTTGTATTCCTAAGTGTTCCTACCCTCTCCCTGGAAGAATGGCCCATGCAGGTTTCTTCCTCCATTTTGCTGAGGAACCTTCATGAACCTTCTCCCCACTAGCTGCTCAGGTTGGGTATAAGGTTTATGTGTTGACCCTTGGAGCATCATCTATATCTATATCTATATCTATATCTATATCTATATCTATATCTATCTCTGTGTGTGTGTGTTACTAATCTAAATGAGGTTGCAAAGAATGCTTTTTTAGGCCAACCAGAATGTGCCAAATCCATACCACAGCTAAACAAATACTGCCATCATTTGTGCATCTTCCCCACCCTTCTGAACCATAATAGTTGGCCTGAGCCTACACAACTGAAGTCAGTAGCAAAACTTTCCTTGACTGATTGAGGCCCCTAATTTGCACAAGGAATGGCGAGGAGGAAAAAGAGTAGAATGAACAAAGTTGAAGTACCAGGGAGGACATGGCTGGAAATGGGACACTGGATAAGAGGCCCAGAATAGCTCTCCCTGCGCACATGCATTCCTGAACCTCTCCCCCTTTTCCTATGTGTCTCTTTGCCCCTCCCTCAGCCGTCCCTTTTCCCCATGTGGTTCTGCATCCCCTCCCCTGCTCAGTGCCTCCACTCACATTCAGCCTCTGCTCCAGAATGTCCATTGCCACTAGCCCTTATGAGCCCCCAGGAACCCCACACTGTCTGTCTCCCCATAACCCCTGTCTCCTGACTTTGCCCTACAGGCACTGGTTCTTTCTCTCCCCTAGGTGCCTGAAGTTGCTGCTCTGTTCTAGTACCACAGTGCTGCGGGGTAAGGGCAGGGGGCGGGGGGAAAGGCAGAGCTATAGCAACTTTTCTGCAAAAATAAAATAAAATATGGTTAGCACATTAAATATTTACAGTGGTACAGAATTCCCCCTGGAGTAATGCTAGCTGAGCATACAGGGTCTGTGCTGTAAGCTTGGGGTGGGCAATAAAAAATGGCAGCCCACCAAGGTTTGTTCCTGGTGGGCTGCTACTGCTATATTTACCTGTGCCTCCACAGGCATTGGGTGATCATAGCTCTCACTGGCCGCGGATCACTATTTGCGGCCAATGGGAGCTGTGGGACGGAAGCTCCCTAACTAACCCTGATGGACCACCATTTTTTTATTGCCAACCCCTGCTCTACACTCTGCCATAAGTGTAGACATACATTTAATCATTTCCCTGCTATGGCTGGGATCAGTGACCACTTTCCTTTCCACTTCAGGCAGGATCTTGCCTCAAGTGTTTATGATTTGACATTAAGGGGCCAGATGCTTAGCTGGTGTAATTTGTCATAAATACTTTGATTCTGGTAAAGCTACACCACTTTATGACAGCAGAGAATCTGCCCAATAATCTTTACACAACAGCTCACTTTCAATTATTCATAATGTAGCAGGTAGTTTTTTTTTTTTTTTAAATAAAACTCTCAGGAGGGATAAGAACCCACTGCATCATGTCCTGCCAAATTTTATTTTTGGGGAAAAACATAACTAGTATTTTGAGTTTTGAATATGACTATGTGGCGCTATCTCCATTTTTCCCCATAGTGAGATGGAATTAGAATGGAAACATTACATATGGTAGTGTGACGTCAGGGCTGTGTGCTGGGATGCGGATATAGACCCACTTATACTCTGCTAACTAATTTTTAGAGAAGTCAACTGGACCTTTTCAAAATATAGTTTCTCGGGGGGCTAAGACTTTGACTGGGATTTTAATCTCTGATGTGCATTGTTTTGTAATTGAAACATTCCCTGCTGCACTGACGTGTTAGAAGTTGGAATCTGGCTTCCTGTCTGTTCAGTTTCTGCCTGAAGCAAAATTTTTATGACTGAACTGTGAAACCCTTAGTAAAAATTGTAAAATAAAAGCTTACAGACTTTTTAGCTAATTGTAACCTCAGCAATTATTGCTATATAGTATTTGCTAATCTTAGCTTGCGTCTCTCCATTAGTCGGGGTTGAAACCTAACCTAAACTATAGCAGTAGAAATTCTACAGTGCACACAGGAGATAAGAATGAAAATGTGTAACTTTTCAGACTCACATTCACATTTGTGAACTCAAAATTAGGCCCCCACTGGCCAGTCACAAGATCAAGATAGTGTGAAGTCAGGCAGAAACTAACTTTCCCTTTTCCTACTGGAAAAATCACTTGTTCTGTAAAGAAACAAATTCCCATTAAAATTTCAATGGTCCGTCCCAATTTGATTGCTTGTAGAGAAAACAATACAATTTTTTTTCCTGGGAAAAATCTGTTATAGTAATCACTTCTGGGAATGCCATGAATAAGCCTCTTCAGACTGTATGCATGGTTGTACTTCTGTTACCATTTTTCCAGTGTTTGCAGTGTTAGTGCTATACATAATATTTAGAGCTACTTTACTCACATAAGCCCTCCTATTGACTTTGGTAATGCTGCTCATGTGAGTTGAGTAAGCAGAGGTTGATCCTCAACATGCTGTTTCTAAACTGATGTCTTACCTTCATTGTTTCATTTTCTTTTTGATACTTGACTAACTTCTTCAGTAATAAGCAATAAGAAGCCATGATAGAAGATGGCTTGTTGTTTATCAAAACATTGATAACTTCTGAAAGCCTGAGCTCCATTGTTTCTGTCATATAGTTTAGAACAACAGGGTTCAGTTCATCAGGACACAGTCTGAAAAATTAGGAATGCTCATTTAAACACGCAAGCAAGCAAACAAAAATGTACAAGTGTAGTTACATTGATTTAGAAGTAAGTGTGTCAGTGATTAATGGGCTCAGTCTCAGTAATTTGACAGTCCAGATACTCCATATACTTTACATATGCAAAATTTTGAGATACAGAGTGTTGTAACCTTAAATATCCAATGAGATAGCACTAAGATCATTGCTGGGTAAGGCTCAGTTACGATATTTTTAGAGGTTCCATTGCTGATGTAGAGTAGATGGATTAATTGGAAAAAATATTCCCCAAGATGAAGATTGAAGCACAAGAAGCAAATAGTTAATAATCTCTGATGATCCTGTTTGATTGCTTGTGTTTTTGATCCTCAAGGTAGGAGCCTGGGTGGAAGTGAGGGGGAAGACTTGCATGTGGAAAAAGATGGGAAGATCTAAGGAAGCTGGAAGATCTCAAGGGGTAAATAAAAGATTTTAGGGAAGTGGATGAGGAATTTTAAACATAAATGTACTTAGTAAAGCTACTATTATAAGTAATTTATTAATTAAGTAATTATAAGTAACTTACAAATAGATATATGTGTTCATAAGATAACTGAATTAATTTGGAAGGCGGCACTTCAGAAATGTCTTGATAGCTGATTTTTAAAAACTTCAGAGATTTTTTCCAAACATTTTTATAATACTGCAGGAAGCTGGGACAAAGTCAATGCCCCTGGTTTGAGCCCCACCATAAAGAAACTGCAAATCAGCCTTTTAAAATCTGTTTCACAGGTGCAAATCCACAGATGTCTACAGAACAGGAGCCCAACATTTTCCCTAAATCAAATGATTGTTTGTTAGAAATAATAAAGGCTCCAATCACTGAAATTAGATATTTTAGAAGAGCATGCAAATACTAGTATGGAACACTAATTAATAAAAATGTAAAGGTGGAGAATTCATGTATAAGGGGTTATATTACTTCTTCAGAGACAGATAATTAAGAAATTGACATAAATAAGAAATAGAATAAGACAGTGGGCTGCATTTTATTCTCAGAGTGGGAGCTATGTGTGCATATTTAAGAGAAAACAACTGGTCTGAAAAGGCAGTATTTTGGTGGTGTCTTGCATCGGTTTGCACATTTCTGTGGTTTAATAGGTGCAGTGATCTGTCTGGGAAAACATAAACTTCCGTAGAGACTGATTTTGCAGAAATGTGAGAATAATATCAAGATAGCAAATTCAGCATTTTTTCCCCAAAATATCTCAAATGGGAATATATTATGTAGTTTTGTAGCGAAGAAATAACTGGAGTCAAACAATCTAGAAATTTAATGTCACCAATGAAACATACCAAGAAAAAATAATGCAATATATGCATGTAGCAACAGAAATACATTTTGTGTACTTTTTTTTAAAATGTAAAACAGATCTAAATGCATGAAGAATAAAATAGAATTTTATTAATCATTGGTAGCACTGGGATTGGCTCAGAAATACCATAGGACATACACAAGTAAATGGAAGAGAAATTTGAAATTACCTATTTTTATATGTAGTAAAGTTCAGTGGTTTCCTGATGAATACTTCATTCAGCCATTTGTCTTTCATGGCATCTTTAACAGTAGGCCGCTTAGCAGGATCAGGCTCAAGTAGGTAATGCACAAAGTGTTCAGCTCCTGTACAGATATTCAGATAAAATGGCTTGATCACTATAGAAGTGTCTGTTTATTCAAACAGTGTGAAGTTACCCATGTGCAGTGGCACAAATTGAGCCCTATTCTGAGGATCTGAGGCATGGTCATATATTTAAGTGGGTTATAAATAGAGCTGCTTGGGAAAAGGTTTGAGCTCAGACAGACAGGCAGCTGATATCAGCTGCCTGATTCTACTCACCCTAGCCCCTTTCAAAATTAAAGTTGCTGGGTTGTAATATATGCCAACAGTGAACTGGGCAAAGCAGAATTTTGCTCTACTGTTTCGTCTGCCCTTCACACCCTGCCCTTGACACACATTGGAACCAGTAGAGTTACACTCATAAAACTGCTGTGAAAAGGCAACTACACCTGTGATATGGAAGCCAGATGATGTTGAAACAACTGGGAAGGAGAATGTAAATTAAAACTAGATGTACTACAGAGTCTCCATTGACTCTCCCATGCTAGTGAAGATGTTAATGGGAGATGATGTAAACATTTTGAATTTCAATTTTTTAAAATGAAAAACAGGGACAGATTTTTCACAGAAAGTTCTGTTGTCAACCAGCTGTAGGAGTACCTTTAAACTTTGAAGAATTGTGCTTAAAGCAACAGGTGAGAGAGCTCTTTGAGGCAACTTATCAAATATTTTCTTAATTGTGCTTTTGTGGGCATTAACCAGATGGTTTCCTAAACTAGCATATAGCCCACTAAACAAAACCCTATGGGTTGGAAACTTATTTGCAGCTCAGGTCCTTTTACATCATTCCGGCAGCATAAAAGAGACCTTAAAACAGGTATAGTTTTCATGTCCACTCCCAATTACTTTAGCGTAAATGAGAATCGAGCCCTGTGATCTCTCAAGTTTGACAACAATATTATCTTTACCCTCACCGCCAAGACAAGATTGAGACAGCCTAGATAGTGTGTGATGATGTGCCTTTAATAATCGGAACAAAGAGAATGGAAGAGGTGGTTGTTGTCTGTCATGCAAATGTATGGTTGCGTTACCTCCTAATAATATGAATGATAAAACTTGGTCTCCACTGTCTTCCTTTTTTTGTGAGGTTGTTGTATTTACTTTGCTAATGAGATAAAAAATGTTGTATTATTTCTATTATATATATATAAAAAGAGGAATGGGTTACCTGAAGACATATCAGTTGGAATGGGACTGATCTCTCCATTGACCATCTTTTGATGTAGTTGCTTGATGTTGAATGGTTCCACGATGAAAGGCAATGTGCCAGTTAGCATAGCAAATATGCTAACTCCTCTGCCAAAGAAAAAAACACAATCAATACATCGAATCTAGAGATAAAGGTGGTAAAAATAGGAAATAAAATCAACGGTTCAGGTATGTGAGTCTTGTCTTTTGACAATCAAGGGCAGATTGCAAATTATATCTAGATAGTGAGACGCTTTGAATCACTTGCTGAAATTATTTGCTCCATGTGAATGCCATTTAACCTTAAGAAAGCATTCCACAGTATAGGCAGTAAAAGAATATATTGTGGGTGGATGGGAATACTAATTTATTTGAGTGAAAGATGCAGGATGAATAGTACAGGGAGTGTGATATTTGTTCACAAAAGAACAATTGCACATTCAGGGACAGTGCACCATTCTTAGCCCATTCAAATCATGGGCTTTGGGCTTTGGATCTGACATAGAAGGTCACCCAACAGGGGGTAAAATGATCGTGGATTCATTGGAGAATCTGCAGAGGCTGCCAATGTAGGTGTTTGTTAGCCCCTATAGACACTAGCAAATTTCATTAAAGGTCACAGATTCAGTGGGGTGAGTACCCACATATCTGAATGCTTATCCAATTATTTTCTGTTTTCAGACTTGGTCTGGAAATTTCATGTGAACAGGCCATTTCACATTATTCATGGCACTTTCTGAACTGGTTGGGTCAGAAATATCACAACAGCAATCTGATGTTCTGTCCTTCCTGCTTCCAACTGGACCAGAAAGTACCAAAGACTATGAAAATGAAAAATCCGGCTAAACTTTATTGAACTCAAAATAGGTTAGGTTCAAATTTCAGGCACTTATTGTGTTGGAGCTGTTATATTTATCAGAGCAGATGTTTTGATGATTCTATTTGTGATGCAGACAACTTTCTTTTCTGCAATCACATAAAAATGGTCACGGGATGGGAGATAGCTTCCATTAGTTACTATATTGGAGAAAAATTGAATCAGCTGCCTAGAAATGAAAATCTTTATTATCCTCAGTACCTAATCTTTTGATATATCCAATCCATGAATGTAGTATTTCCCCAAAGTTTGATGATTAAACATTCAACCACAATTCTAGAGACATAGTATAATCTCTGAAAATGTTGGATTAGATTTAGCTGGACTGAAAGTGAGACACAGTCCCTAAATATTTTCTGACAGTTGGAAAGAATATGGCTACGTCTACACTGGCCCCTATTACGGAATAGGGATGCAAATATAGAACTTTGGAAGAGGCAAATGCGCGGGGGTTTTAAATATCCCCCGCGCATTTGCCTCTTCCAAAGTTCTACATTTGCATCCCTATTCCGTAATAGGCGGCCAGTGTAGACACAGCCTACGTGTTATGCAAATGGATGTGTTATATAACATTAAGTACGCTTGCCTTTGCAAGATTTTGAACACTTCCTTTGCCATGCACTTTTAATTGCTGTTGATGATAGACATGAGCGATGCCTTTATCACTGGCAATAGTTCTTTTCATCAGCTTACTGGATGTGAAATCCCCAATGTATGAGAATTTAGGGAGTGGGTGGGAGCTACAACCATAATATCTTTTAAAAAATATAAACAAGTAATACACAAAATATAGTCACTTAACAACAATGTATTTGTAGCTGGAAGCTGACTGCATCTTATGCTTGAAAATGTATGGTCTATAGCAGATTGCTGCTCTTCCATCTTGCTGAAATATCTGGCTCCATTTGAATATAGCAGCTGTTTTCTTAATTCAGCTGATGTATGAAAGCTCATAATTTTCTATTGCTCCAGAGAATCTTAAAGTTTGATGCACAAAAGCCTTGTACAGTCAAAGCTGGTGTTTCCTCAGTGGAATCCTAATTGTATTGCTGTTTAGTCTGATTTGGTTGGCCGAACGTGATTTTGGATTAATACAACTCTTTGTTTCCAGTGATAACCATTACCTATCAATGTCTCTATAAAGTCAGTACTTTTACACAACCTGGCTGATAGATTCCATGACTCCTGAGCTGAGATAGAAATAGCGTCATGAGAGTTAAAATTTTACACTCTCAAAGCTCTTTTTCCATGCTAAAGGTCTCAGCAATAACAAATCAAGTTATATATTCATTTTTTATGGCTTAGACAGAAAAATGTCTAAATAAAATACCAAAGGCCACGTATAAGTTTTTACAACTCTTTGTGTATGACTCATTGACAGAATTACATCAGTAAATAGCTTTATGGTTTCTATTTTGCATCCATTTTGCAGAAATCTCAACCAGGAACTAAACTAAATCAGGTTTAGGTGCTGACAGCATTCTCTCAGCCAAATTAAGCTGTATTACTCCTGTGTAAACTTTGATTAGCACTCTTGAAGTCAATGGCAGTACTCCAGATTTTTACTGATGTAACTCAATTTGTCCCACTGTGCTTAACTTTTTGAACCATATATATCTTGTATGTTGGCAGCGGAGGCAGAAGGGAGAGTTACAAAGAGAGTCATGGTTCGGTCACAAATATGGGTTTAAACAAAACACTGTTATATGTTATGTCTGCCACAACAGTTTTCAAGAAGGGGTCCAGTTTATGCTCTTGGTTGCCTGCAGGTTTGGAACTTTCTGCTTACATTTTTATACATCAGTTATCTCCAAAGTATTCAGTAAATCCAAATGCAAATGATCATTTAGGGACATTTGGTGATCTTATTAGCATCTCTGTGAATTTTAAGTCCAACAGCCAAAATATGAAAAATTGATATTTTTTATATGTATTGTAACATGTAATGTCAGTATCTGTCTACACCAGTGTGTATTTGTATATGCGTGCGTGCGTGCATGCACACACACACACACACACACACACACACTATAAATAAAAACTCCTGGGGGAATGCCGCACCACTGCATATATGCATAATTAATATGTTGTGCATAATTTTTTTCTGCAGAAAATAACTTCTCCTGGAAGTTCCACCTTTTAACCATTGGGGTTAGCGTAGCGTAGCGTAGCATTAGAACAGAGTTACCACTCCTGCATAGGAGAATTCCTAGCTGCCAGTAGGTAAGGAAAGAGGTTGTTTGCCCAGCCCTAAGTCTGTAGGGCCAGGTCAGGAGATAAGAGGTATTTTGAAATATATTACCAAAATAATTGACACTGGTGTGATTATATGATGTTATTATGATGAATAATATATGCAAAATTTTAAAATGTGTGTAAAATTGTTAATATTTTGGCACAGAATTCCTTCAGCAGTAATACAATCTATGCACAGATGTATGAATTAATTCAGGGAAGTCCAGTGGTTTGTATTTTATTGGAGGTTGGACTACATGATCACCTTCTGTCAGTCTATAAGGTTTTTTGACCTGGGCCTATTTTCCATTTTTTGTGACTTTTTTTGTTGAAAATTGTATTTCAGATAAATCAAACATTTTGAAAATGGTTTTCAAAAAAAAGATTGATAAAAAATGTTTGAAAAAATTGTGAAAAATGTTGATCAATGCTGACAATTTTCCACAAAAATGCCTTTTTCAGCAACAAAAAACTATTTCTGTTTGAAAGAAGTTAACCTGGCTGTGAGTCTTTTACTCCTCTCCTGAATATTCCCAGAGAGGGAGGGAGAACTGTGGGCAATGGCTTCAGAAGGCAGAATATATTGCACTTAGACTGTGGGGCTTTGAATAAAAGTCTTTATAACCATGTCCCAAACAGACATCAGGGTAATAGGAAGTGGCCTGGGGAAGGTGACAAGTGGGCCAGCTGAACTTAGGCTGGCACATTCTGCTTTGTCTTCAAGATCCTGGATTGTGACCTTGTGGAAAGGGAGGGCCCACTTTCTTTACCTACCCTGAGGAACTATGACCCTTGGCCCAACAGATGGCAGAGCTAAGGCTTACCATCAGAGAAGCCAGTCAAGCTAGGACCTCATGCAGAAGGCTGGGACCCCCTGAATTAACAGAAAGATTAGAGCCACAGGCCATGACCATTATGCCTGCTGACTGAACAAACCACCCTGCTAATTATGTTAATAAAATAGGGTATGTCTACACTACAACATTAATTCGAACTAACTTAGTTCGAATTAGTTAATTCGAACTAAGCTAATTCGAACTAACGGATCTAGACTAAAAAACTAGTTCGAATTAGCGTTTTGCTAATTCGAACTAGCATGTCCACATTGAGTGGACCCTGAACCGGGGTTAAGGATGTCCGGAAGCAGTGCCGGCAGGGCATCAGAGGAGGACTTAGAGCGTGGCGATGCTGTCTCAGGCTAGCCGAGGGCTGCGCTTAAAGGGTCCCGACCCCCACCCCGGACAGACAGTTCTCAGCGGTGCCCCGCTTGCAAAGCAGTCCTGGCTTGGAGTGCCCGGACTACCCACACTGGGCACATCACACCACTCGGTCATCAGACCGGC